TAGTCTATAGTCTAGTCTATAGTCTAGTCTATAGTCTAGTCTATAGTCTAGTCTATAGTCTAGTCTATAGTCTAGTCTATAGTCTAGTCTATAGTCTAGTCTATAGTCTAGTCTATAGTCTAGTCTATAGTCTAGTCTATAGTCTATTCTATAGTCTAGTCTATAGTCTATTCTATAGTCTAGTCTATAGTCTAGTCTATAGTCTAGTCTATAGTCTAGCCTATAGTCTAGTCTATAGTCTAGCCTATAGTCTAGTCTATAGTCTAGTCTATAGTCTAGTCTATAGTCTAGTCTATAGTCTAGTCTATAGTCTAGTCTATAGTCTAGTCTATAGTCTAGTCTATAGTCTAGTCTATAGTCTAGTCTATAGTCTAGTCTATAGTCTAGTCTATAGTCTAGTCTATAGTCTAGTCTATAGTCTAGTCTATAGTCTATTCTATAGTCTATTCTATAGTCTAGTCTATAGTCTAGTCTATAGTCTAGTCTATAGTCTAGTCTATAGTATATTCTATAGTCTAGTCTATAGTCTAGTCTATAGTCTAGTCTATAGTCACCTTCAGTTATAGGTGTGTACCAATAGACTTTTTCGTTTAGCGTACCCAAGTTTGACTTACATTTTTTTGTTGTACTTTAACAACTTATTTTTATAACAACTGACAAATGGTGACTTTGGTTAAGTTTTACTTTTTATCGAGCTTTTTTTTCATTTTTCATCTGTTTTTTTGTTGCTGCTAACAACATAATGTTGTTAAATGTAATTCAATTAAGAAATTTTCTTTTCTTATTTAATTTATAAATCAAACTTTTGCTTCCTATAGAATTCATTATGGGCAGTTATCAGATTGTTTCTTTTTATCGACTAAATATTGTCTCCTCATTCAAAATAACTTGAACAAAAAAATCAGTTTTAAACTTAAGGTAAAGTTTTACATGCAGGCGGATTGGATGTGCTATAGGAATTGGAGAGAGTTGTATTATTCATTGAACTTTTTTCAACTGTTGACCAAATACTATGAGTGGCATGTATTGAAATCGATGTTTATCAACCCCATAATAAGAGGGCTGAATAAAACAATATAAAACTTCATTTTTTGTGTAGTTTAAACAAGGTTATTGGCATTGTACTTAATGGTGTGTTTTGTTTGTTGTATTCATGTTATTCAGCAAACATTTTAAGGAGCTATCGGTGAATTTCGTATTAGTTTGATATTTTTTAATATAATATTTCTAATGTATATGCAATATGACTTAAATTCAAAAATAAAAAAACAATAATTTTTTTTTTTCTAAAATTAACAACAATCTTTGTCCACCTTAATTTTTTTTTCGAAATGTATTTTTCACTGGATGAAAGTACACTTAATAAAGTTTAAATATATGTATTGTTAAATTGTCCTTTTTTGAAACATTCAATTTTATAGTGATTTTTTTCCTGTTTAAAAATTGCTAGACTGTATTTTAATTTTTTGATCTCATTTATTTTTATTTTATTTATTTATTTTATTTTTTCTCCTGCACATTCAATTATGTCCACATATGCCAGTCTATACCAGCAGTTGTATAAGAAGTCAATGTATCACTTTTAGTTCTCATTATATCCTACACCACTATAGTGGGAATCGGCTAAAAATCACTTTCTGAGTCGATTAAGTTATGTCCGTCTGTTTGTGTGTCCATAAAAACCTTATGCTCACGCTACGTGTCGAAATTTGCAAGATAATTTGGCACATACTCTTCTTTTAAACGATAATGAAAATTGTTGAAATCAGGAATCTATACAAAGACCAGCAAATCTTGGTTTTATATAAGTTCGTAATGATCGGGTCTTATTTCACTTTTTTGGCAACAAATTGTTAAAATATTTCGGAATTAAGGTTAAATGCTTTATTATTAAAAATAATCCACGTCTTTAACCAGTGAGTATGGTGTAGGGTATCATATTGTTGGCTATTCTCGTCTATACATTCTTACTTCTTTTATACAAATATTGATCGAATAGTGGATCTAAATTCAAGCTTAGAAGGACAGTCTACATGGGGCCTTATGCAAGGTTTATGCATACGTCTGTCTATCTGCCTCATGGCAGTATAAGTATGAAAATAAATAAAAAACTTAGTTGTTATCATATCTGTAGAGATGAATGAATGTCAAAGTTATGCGCTAAAAGGTCCGGTTGTATAGACCTCTTTTTCAATAGGCTTTGTTCTTGGGCCGAAAAATCACATTAATCATAATATCTTGAAAATTGCAGGCCTATACATTGCGAACAAGATTTATCGGTATACTTTAAGGTGAGCGTTACAAACATCGGCACAAACCCATAATATCCTTAACTTTTGAACCGGTACTACTGGTCCGGTAGACCACAGGGCAGAGTTTCGGACTTTGTCTCGTCCCTCTTATAGGAAAGCTATCTTCGTGTTGGCTGTGGTTTAAACCAAAACTCGCGGGAAGAGAATATTGGTTAAAATACTGATACACGGTAAAGTCTATAATTTGCGATGAGTTCGGTGCTGTTGCCGTGACAACACATACCACACAAAGGAGTGACTTAGGACTGAGCGTTTGAGTCAAGTATATATAATACGTGATGGATGTAGGGGTGTATGCGGATTCTGTTAATACCAGATTTACCACAGTGTGTTCTCTATGAGTATTTGATGGATTCGTATTTCGGTCAACTGATAACGTATCTAGGAGAGGGGCTGTTGCCAAAACAGGAGAAACCATCCCATTTGCATGGTTGTAAACAAAAGTTAAGCAACGGTGCAGCAATGGTACAAGATTAGATAGCTCGAGCTCTTGATCTAAGTCGTCTATTAAGCTCACCATGTGGTTTTAAAAGTACAACCGTCAAATAAATCCAATATGACAGGTCTACAAGTAAAGCACCTAGACTTCTTGCGGTTCATGGACGTGTAAAACAGATAATTTATGAGATTGGAACGAGTTATGCAAAATGAAATATGAAGTTCACCATGGCAATGAATGGATCTATTGTTTGTCCAATAGGGGCGCTTGATTTCAATTTAGAATCTAATTTTGACCACCGCTGAGGTAAATTCCATAGCTTTATACTCAAACACAATATATCACAGTTCGCGTATAGAATCCAATTTAACAATCTATTTATGTTTTTTGCGATATCAAACCCGTGCAGTTAAAAGGGTATTAGCGAATCTTAACATAAACAAGAAGGTCAGATGGACTTTATACCATGCCTGTGAGTTGCCTGTATGCTGGAAGATGTGGCATGGTGCACTTTTATCAAAACTAACTGCTTTAGGTGTCGGTAATTACTTCTCTCGATTTACACCGAGCTTTCTCAGGGATTGCTCTATACGGGTTGTTATAGAAGGGATCTCATCAAACAAGTTCAACATAAATTCAGGAGTACCGCTTCGTTCTTATTCCATTCCTTATCTTTATATGTCAAACTTTCAACCCTTTCTACTCTTTTGCAGATTACAGCAACATTTGCCATTCTTATTCTTTCATTTATAGGCCAAGTCCTTTGGAGATTTGGAGCAATAAGGCAAAACATGAATGACTCACTTAATCAATATCTAGTGGCAATCTCTGAATAGGGTCGTGCTTATAGAGAACATTTCAACGCACGTGTGTTTTAACGCACAAACGCACTACTATCTACACCACCTATGTACATCCGACCTAAAATGGAATACAACTCTCATGTATGGACCGGCGCTTTAAAGTATATTTTTGAGCTACTTGACTGCGGACAGGAGAGGGCGAAGATACTTATCGGTGACAGTAGTGTATCTACCTCTTGATTCACTGGAGCATTGTCGTAATGTGGGGTGCATTTCACTATTGTATCGATACTAAAATGGAATGTGTTGTTATGAAATTAGGGAACTTGTTCCCGAAATCCACATATTCACACGTAACACACGTCATTCAGCAAGAACACACCCATGCACTACAGAGAGAATTCGTTCTTTTGTCGTAATGTCCCCATGTGGAACAAACTTCCCAGAGAAGTCTTTCCTGTCACTTACAATTTGGGTAGGTTGAAATCGAATGTCCACAAACACTACTCCCTCTATCCTCCCTCCCATAGCATATTTTCCCAGTTCTAACACAATGCACTGCATGTGTAGGGTTTATCCCCTGAGTGCTGGCCCTAATAACAAAAAAATCTATCGAGAAATCAATCGTATGCCTTAGTACCTAATCTAAAGTGACTTCACACTTTCGTCCAGATCTACTTTAAAACAGACTCAATTGGACGTTAGTATTTTAAAGAAAGGTGAATAGTTGTATTCAAAGTATATAACCAAATAACTAATTCGGGTCTCTTATTCCGAACTACTGGGTTTTGCATGTAAGTATTAACATGTTTGACTCTGTGATTCTCATATACATATATAAGTGTTTGAGTTTGTGTATGAAAGTGTTAAAGAAATTTACATAAATCGATTTTTATAATTATTTGCATATGAAAAAGTTGTAAAAAAATATTTATTAAATATATGCATTTGTTTAAATTTTTATGAAATTTATGCAATATATATATACTTTCTATGGGAATTTGTTTAAAGGCATGACGATGACAAACTTAATTGAAATAATATAAATATCCAATTTATTTATTAAAGTTTGTCAAAAAAGTTAAAATGTTAAATTGTTAATATTAAATGAAAACGTTGATAAATAATTAAATAAAATAATTGGCATGATTATCGAATAGATAGTAATAATGGAATATCAATTAAAAAAAGTATTAGGAATAGATAAAAAAAACAGTTATTTAAAATGGAAAATATTAAGTTTGTAAAGTTATTTTGACAATTCAAATAGAATTGTATATAAACCAACTGCCAAATAAAACCATTATTAAAAGCTAGTACTATGTTCACACGAAACTATATACTTATTAACTTCGCTGAACATTTGTCTAAAATTCTCTTGATTTTTTTAAGCATTAATTTTAAACTCTTTTTCACTCATTCTTTTAAACTTACATTTTAACTTACCCGCACGCACCAAATGTTGGATCATATGTATAATAACTCGATGGCTGCAACGGCGTCGAAGTCCAAGCGGCCGCACTACTTGCAGTATCTTTTAAGGCATAGGGGGTTGTCTGTAAAATACCAAATGAATAATGTAACATAAACGGAAATTGATATCAGATTTTGCGACTTATAATTAAAGAAATTAACATAAATTATAATGAGAAATAAAGCTGGTTTTTTAAGTTAATTTGCATAAAATTAATGATTTCTTGAAAACATTTTTTGACAAATCATCATGTGGCAGCAACACGAAGATATGTATTTTTGTTTTTATTACACAAAATTAACCCACAATAAGCATTTATGTGAACATGCATTTTACAAACAACCGTAATTTGTTTTTAAAAGATTGTGCAGTTGTTTTTTTGCTGTCTTCGTGATATTTTCTGATATAAAGTTTTAAATACTAGTTTTGTACATTTTCGAAATGAACCCCTACAAAGTAATTTGTAGAGTTACAGTGGCAGCAATTGTATCACAGATAATATCTTAACATATATAATAAAAATCGTTAAATTTGCTTTAACATTTATAATTTTTGAATTATATGGAAGCCAAACCGACATGGTCATGCTTCTATCCTGCTCTCCCACGCTCCTTCCGGACATAAGATTCACAGTTAGGATGTCAAATGTACCACCCTTCTCAGAAGGTGAAACACTTGACATCTTTACGGACGGATCTAAGTCCACTTCAGGCGTGGGTGGTGGTTTCTTTATTCCCTGCTTAAACAAAGCGGTATGTTTTAAGCTGAACGATAACTGCAGCAGAGCGGTTAACTGGATGAGGTACTATAGGATATGCAATGTTAATATCCGAATTTGTACGGACAGTAAACCTGCTATAAAGTCCCTAACTGGTGTCTACACGACATCCAGACTGGTTCGCGAATGTCGGGTGTCTCTTGACGAGATGGCGAACCATTCGTGCCTGGAACTACTCTGGGTACCGGTTCATTCTAATATTCCCGGAAATAGAAAAGCGGACGAACTAGCAAAAGCTGGTTCCCGCCTTCACATAGGGGACACTGATGCACTAGTCGGCGTTCCGCTTTCATGCTGAAAGGCCTTTAAGGCTGTTTGATGGGGCTTCCAAGGATGAGACTACGTATACTGGTAGCCATCCTAACAGGGCACTGTACTATAGTTGCGCAGGCAAGAAGACTAAATCTTCCATACAATGACTATTGCAGGAGCTGTCAAAGTGAAGACGAAGAGGAAACTGTAGAACACTTTCTCTGCCTCTGCCCTGCCCTAGCTAATATCAGGACTGAGTTTCTGGGCAGTCCAATATTCCATGAACTTGCGGCTTTATCTAATATAGACATATATAAGATAGAATCGTTCATTCGTGCCTCTGGCTGGTTTAATACCATGTTAATCAAGGACATAGGTTGGTTTTCTTTTGCAGGATTCTCTATAGGGTATCACAACGGGACCATAGGACCCAAGTGAGTCGGTCAAATGGCCGACTGCCTCAATAACCTAACCTAATATTCCTCACACTAACACGAAAAATCCCACTGTTTGCAGTTCTCAACAAAAACAGAAAACTAATTTTTTGCTTATAAAGATCTAAAGAAAATTGTAAAAAAATAACAAATAGACTTCCATGTTAACTCCACATCTAAGTAATCGACAGCAAATGCCAGAACAAATCACTAGCCGCACTGCCAATTTCAACAACGAAGCATTTTGCATGAACAAAGCCAAGCAAACTAAACTAAAAGCAATAGTTAATTTTTGCTTGCAATGTTTACTACTTTTTAAAACGAAAGACCAACTTATAAAGAAGCAAAAACAAATTTTGAAAGAAAAAAATATATATTGTAAATAAAATTTTCTAAACACGAGTCGAAACATGTATAATTATTTTAATGTACCTGTTTTTTTTTTTCTTTATTTTTAATACAAACTAGAAAAAAAACTAAAAAAAAATTATACGAAAAATTATAATTTTTTATTTTTAGATAAATTTGCATAAAATTGTAATTAACTGCTTTTTTATGAGCTGTTGCACATTTGAAAATATTTTTTTTCTTCGTCTATGTTTTATTTTAACAATAAAACTCTACAAAATTAAATATAACAAACAAAATTTATATTTTTTTATAGGTTTTTAAATATGGAAATAAATATATTTTTTTTTAAAACAAAAACATGCAAAATTATAAATATGTATTTGCGAATGACTTTAAATATTCATTTGATATTTATACTCGTTATTTAATTTATTGTTTATTGAACACCCACTACTTGATAAGGGGTTTATAATAATTTTATTTTTCATTTTGTTACATATTGTTATGAAAGACTTAATTCGTCTTTGGTATAGGTTAGAATTCATTTTCGATTCCAAAAATTCTATTGTTGTTCATTATCGGTAAGGTATTGATTAAGAAATAAAACATGCATATATAAAGATTTATCAACAAGTTCATAGTCTAGACTATAGTCCAGTCTATGGACAATCTATATTTCCGAACTGTAAATTAGACTTTAGTCTAGAACTTATATATATATATATTATAGTACTAAGTCTATATTCTGAACTATAGAATATGAACTATCTACAATTTAGCTCAGACTATGCTCTAGACTATAAACCAAACCGGATTATTAATAATTTTACAATGGACTACTTATATGATATTTTAGACCATGGCCTAGACTATAGTTTAGACCATGGACTAGACTATAGCTTAGACCATAACTAAACCAAAGTTTGAACTTGACTATAAATCAAAATTGTAGTCTGGACTACATAAACCATGATCCAGACTTTAATTCATATACAAATATTATATAAATGTATTTTAGAGTATTATACAAACTAATGGACTATACTACAGTTCAGTCTACGTACTAGAATATATTTCAAATTGTGGATTAAACAATAATCCCCACAATGTTATAATAAACTCTTTTACAAATTATGAACAAGATTACAATTCAAACCGTGGAATAGACGATTCATATTAAGTATATATGTAAGTTCACAATAAGAGTTAGAACAACCTCACAAAAAAAGGGCGGTTTTATGATGTTAACGCCCACTTCTTTTGGTATTCTTGAGTGCAATAAAAAGCAATAACTTAAAAACAAATTGAATCATAAATTTAAATAAGTAGGCGTAGTTGTAATGAGGACACGCCTACTTTTAATATAGAAATTTTATGCATGTAAGTGAAAAAATTCGAGGCAATTTTACAAATTATTTTTAAATGTATTAAAATTTATACCAAATAGTACTCTGGTTCGACCCCAGGTTACATCAAACCAAGGAAATGCCAGTCCACCACTCGATCCCCAAATGCCTTTTATTATTAGCGCTTTAGATGGATGACTGTGCAGGACCGGAGCACATCAAGCACATTCCTCAACCTCTTAAAGACCGCGCATCCCCATCACAAATATCAGCACCTAGAGACATATTTGGTAGATCGAAATCCAGATATATATGATATTAGATATATTAGTCCTTAAGCCAACATTCTCTCCCTACTAATGACCAGCAAGGCCAAGTCCTGTGGGTCTCGGGTTAGACCCCATGTCAAATAATTCCAAGAAAAAAGCCAGGATACATTTGGTCACCACTAGATTACATCCAGTGGTTTTCACGGTAAATCCCGGGAATTCTGAAAAATTATCCATCCCGAATTTCTTGGAAATTGTGCCCGGGAATTATTTTCCTTATATTTAACTGATATTTTTCACAAAAAAGCGTTGTTTACAATGGATATATTGATTTGAAATGTTAAATTACGAAATGATATATTAAAAGGTGTTAAAAACTAGGAAACAAATTACTAACACATTATAATTTTTAATCAATTTATTGCCGTAAAACTGATTTTCTGGAATTTGTCGCTTTTTGTGAGATACTAATATATTTGATATAATTTTGAGCTAAACAGCCCAATTCGGGAATTCCCGGGTCCCGAGAAATTAAAAAATGAATCCCGTTTCCCAGGAAATGAAATAGTCCGGGAAAAGAAAAACACTAATTACATCCTTGGCTGACTAAAAGGAACTATTTTACGATGTACAGTTGAAAGTAAGTGAGCACTCTTAACAATCAAGCACTTTGGAAATCATCTCTAACAAAGGAATGATGATTGCATTAAAAACTTGGTTGGTTGTAATATAAGATAAATGTCTGTAGGATAGAGTATTTCCATGAAGATGGAAAAAGCAAAAACTCATTCTGATAAAGTCGATTCATAGGAACAAAGTCGACGAATCCTTCTCTCAAGAGTAGTAAACTCTATTCTGCTTTATGGAGCACAAATACAGAAGGGTCATATGGATCGTATCAACAGTTTACTAGTGCTGGATTTATAGCTAAAACACTTCGATTCTGTTAGCACAACATGATCCACAAAACCATTCGAATTCGAAAATTACCTGAATTCAGTGAAATTGCTGTAATATTTCTGTTACACTTGAAACACTACTTGTACTTACTTCTAAGGAAGTTCAGTTTTTCTGTAATGTAAATCTCACTGAATGCAACACATTTACAATTTATTTTTTTATCAATTAAATTAAATATAACCGATGTAAATCAAACGTCATGCATAATTTCATGTTTTATGTAAAATTCATGATTTTCACAATACATATTTTATGTTTATAATATTCAGATATTTAACAACAAACGGTAGTAGAATCGTAGAAACGCCTCTCAGTTTATGGCCCCGATACAAATTACTTGCAATGTTTTAACACACAACTGACTGCTTCCTTTAAAAAAAAAATAAAAACAAAACTACTGGTGTCATTAACTGAACGCAAGAAATTTTCTATAAAAACCGACTTATGTTTAAACAAAAAAAAGGGAACAAACGTAAAACAAATATTACAATAATTACCTCAAAATAAATAAATATGAATTCAGCTGTATAAATGTTTCGAGTAGTGGCCACATTATATTTATGAGGCAGTTAGTAAAAGGTTACAGTTTCACATCTACAAATCTAACATTTTAATTCAATTGTTGTGCCATTCACTCATTTGTTTGCCATTTAATAAGCGCATAAAACTTAGTGCTTTAGTTAGTTTTCTAT